TTCTAATTTTCAGCGTCAAGTTAGAGTCCTAATCTTTTGACTATTGAGCAGAAAACCAAAACGAACTTGGCACAAAAACGTCCCACTAAAACAAAAAGAAGAAGGTCATTTATTTATGTTTCTTCTTTTTTCTCCAGATTGAGCTCATATATAGTTTGAAAGAAAGTACAGACAGCTCTTGGACTCTGGCGCATGTTGTCGACTATTGGAAATATTTGAGATAAGTCCATTGTCATTACTTTTAACGGTGTCAGTCCAAGAGAGATCGAAATCTAATGTCTCTCTTGTGTTAAGTCAAATGGAAACAAACTTATTTCTAATAACTCCATTGTACTTTTCTTATTTCTTCTGTCGTTTAGCCATTTAAACCATTTCAGTCCAAGACGGATCATAATCTAATATCTCCCTACAATATCGATTCATTGTCAGATTGTCTTATAAAATAAAAAAATAAAATAAATTGAAAATAAAAAGTATCATAAAATAAATCGTTAGCTAAGGCCGGGGGTATTGTCGTGATGCACCAATAAATTCTCAAAACTATAAACATTACCGCCAATCAGCTTGGAGAGGGGGGAGAAAGTGCTCGCGCCGATTTCAAACTTGTATAACTTCAAAAGCATTCAATCACCAAAACTTTGTCAATTTTCCCAATGTTGATGGTCGGCGGTCAGTATTGTTGTTGATATTCCACCAAATTCTCCGAATTAAAATTTAAACTGAGAAATGTTTCTCAATCAGTTTATGAGATCAGAATTAATATTATGAGCCTGGGACTGAAAGTGTTTTCATCCGGATCCAGTTTGTTATGTTGGGGGTCAACGTGAACTTGCGGAATATTGTCGTTTCTATAAGTCGTGTAATATGTGATGTTTCCCCCTTTTTTTCCAAGATTGAAAACAGATAAGTTGAGAAAGTGCAGCCATCTTTGGATTGCCGTATGCAGCTCTTGGACCCTAATTGCGCAAGTTGACTATTGGAAACATCTTACTTCAGATAAGTTCTTCACGTTTTCTTATTTTTTTCTATCGTGTACCATTTATCAGGCGTTGCAGTCAAAGAGTGATCATAATCTGATGTCTCTTTGCAATATTGATACATTGTCACGTATCTTTGAAACGAGGGCCACTAGTTTTATCAGTGTTTAACTGTTATGTGCTTACCCTTGTAAAATAAAGTTGCTTACCTTACTTACTTACTTAAATATGATCCGGGGAATTAGAAAGTGCAGCCATTTTGAATTGCAGTGTGCAGCTCTTGGCATGGACTCTGGCCCAACAGGTTTACTATTGGAATAAGTTTTACTTTAAAAATAAGTCCATTGTCGTACGCGTTTTATTACTTTTTAACAGTTTCAGTCCAAGAGAGACCAAAATCTTATTCTCCTTACCATATATGGAATGAAAATCATTAACTCAGGGTATTGTCTTGATATACAACCAAATTCTCAAAACTTAGAAACGTTTGACAATCGGTAAAATAAGTCACATTTCTAGCCTGGGACTGAAAGGGTCAACATCCAGTTCGTTATTTTGGGGGCTCCAACGTAAAAATGTCGTAAACTATGGCGAGAAACAATGTTGTTCGAAAATATTCGACTGAGACAACTAAATATTATTGATGTGTTATGTTTTGTTTGTTTGTTTGTTTGTTTCTCTCTAGATTAAACACAGAAAAAAGAAAGTGCAGTCATTTTGGATTCCGTACGCGTGTTTAACTCTTAGATTCTGGTGCAAGTTGACTATTGAAAACATCTTATTCCAGATAAGTCCATCGTAGTTTTCTATTTTTTTCTGTCATTTTATATCATTTAGGAATCTAATGTCTCCTTGACACGTATCTTATAAAGAAAATTGTTAACTATGGCCGGAGTATTGTCTTGATGTACCTTCAAATTCTCAGAGCTAACATTAAAGGAAATGTAACGCATAAAAGAAAATAGAATAATTTAATTTATAGATGTTTCTTTTTTTCCCCTTGAAACTCAGATTTGTTGGAAAACAAAGTGCAGCCATTTTGGATTGCAGTGTGTAGCTCTTGCTTGTGAGGCCAGTTGACCATTGGAGACATCTATTTCAGTTAAGTCTGTCATAGGCTTCCTATTCGTCCGTCTTTTATTACCATTTATCTACGGGGTATTATCTTGATTTATTAACAAATTCTCAGAGCTGACATCAAGAGAATGTATGACATTCAGTAATGAGATTTTATATTTTGAGCCTGGGATTTACAGGGTTAACATCCAGTTCGTTATTTTTGGGGGTTAACAACGAACTGTCGAATATTGTTGTTTCTAATTTTCAGCGTCAAGTTAGAGTCCTATTCTTATGACGTGACTGACCAGAAAACCTGCTACAAAAACGTCCCACTAAACAAAAATGAAAGAACTTTATTTATGTTTCTTCTTTTTCTTCAGATTGAGCCATAGTTTGAAACAAAGAACACACAGCTCTTGGACTCTGGCGCATGTTGTCGACTATTGGAAACATTTGAGATAAGTCCATTGTCATTACTTTTAACGGTGTCAGTCCAAGAGAGATCAAGATCCGTCTTTTGTGTTGAGTTAAATGGACGCAACTTATTTCAAATAACTCCATCGTAGTTTTCTTATTTCTTCTGTCGTTAACCGATTCAGTCCAAGACTGATCATAATCTAATATCTCCCTACCATATCAATTCATTGTCAATTGTCTTCTAAAAGTAAAAAAAAATTAAAAATAAATTGAAAATAAAAAGTATCATAACATAAAATCGTTAGCTAAGGCCAGGGTATTGTCTTGATGCACCCATAAATTCTCAAAACTATAAACAGTACCCCTAATCAGCATGGGGGGGGGGGGGGGGGGGGGGGGGGAGGAAAGTGCTCGCGTCGATTCTCCAAACTTGTATAACTTCAAAAAAGCATTCCCCAATCACAAACTTTTGTAAATTTTCCCAA